AGGAACCTGGGCAAATTCCCTAACTTCATGTGCCTCAGATTAAAATGGGGTTGCTGTGGGGACTAATTGGGCTAATATTTGTATTAGAAGAGTGACTAGGACAGTAAGTATGCACTAAGTATAATTATTGATGAAGACAAATAAACAAAAAGGAAGACATTTGCTATACTATACCCTAAAAGTGACAGCTGATTTGTCTTTTTTGATGCTCAAAACCTGTCAGTCTACAGTCTTTTTATGATAAAACTAACATAACTCATTTCATCATGTCCAAAGCTTTCAATATGAACCAATAATTATTTCACACTGTTTAGTCTCTTGTTTCTCAGAGAAATTCATTTAAGGATCTGGTTAGGACATAAAGGCTACAACACACAAGTGAACAAGCCCAAGCTCATCCCCTACTCCACATCCTGAAACTTTAAGCATCTATGAGCTATGCCCCTCCCATGCCCTGCCTTTGAAGGTGGGCCACTGTGTTCTTTGAATTTTCCAAATATGAATTTTATCCTTTTCTTTCCTTCTTTCCTTTCTCCCTTCCTCCCTCCCTCCCACCTCCCCTCCCTCCTTCCTTGCAAGGAGTAAAACAAGAGAAAATAACTATTAAAGATAGGACATGCTCTCCTTTGCTAACTTAAGAAGTTTACATCAGGCAGTAATTTCTAACCTGTCACTATGAACACTGTAAATCACAGTGACACAATTTGCTCCATGAAAGGCCCACAGTAAATCAACCTCACTGAAAGCGAAATCCTCAGATCTCAACAGAATGTTATTGTCTCAGGATTTCTGGATTGCCTGACCCCTGGGGCTCGTTTGGTAGAAGTCATGAGGGCAAATAGTAATGGCCACAGAAACACTTTGGATATTTTTCCTACCGTTGTTCCAAGCTATTATCTCAGAGAAACACAAACGGTGCTTCTCATTCTATGATAGAAGACTTATTTTCTACATGTATACATATTTACATACACATGGATTTTATATGTTGATGTATATAATTTCCCACCAAAATGGGATAATACGTTAGTGACAGAAACCTCTTAAAAATTCTCTTTTAGCCCCATGACTGTGAACATTTTCCAGCTTTAAAGAAGATCCATCATGGTTCTACACAGTTTGAAAATGTATGCACTAATAGAAATAAATGACAACACTATTAGTTGAGAGCATTAGGTTCTAACCTCAGGTTCTGACAAAGGCTGAAGGATTCCTTCCACAAACGTGTGCTCTCCACAAGAGTATGTGGGCTATCGGAGGTTTTCACCAAAAAATAATAGGTGCCGAGGATGGTTTTCCTTTCCTAAGACACAGCTTCATTCTACCTTTGTGTTAGCTTTCCAAACAGTTGTTTATACTCTAGTAACAAAATCCCACCTAACTCACTTATTCTTTAGAGAAGTGGATCTTGAAGTGTGCTTGGGGAACCAGCAGCATCAGTGCCACCCGAGAACCTTTGGTAAATGTAGATTCTGGACCTACTACATCAGGAATTCTAGGAGGTAGGGTCTGCTTGTCGATACTCTATTTCATGTTCTATTGGTAAATTTGTCCCTCTTGTGCCTATTTAATAATGTCTGAATTTATACAGCTGTATAATTATTTTTGAGGGTGGGTGAGGCCACTCTGTCTACCTTGTACTTACTTCTCAGTGCATTGGGCTCTTTGTTTCTCTTGCTTTCATTCTTATTGTAAAATCACGTTCCCCGAGTTCCCCGCATACCACACAAACCCTTATGAATTTGCATTTGCATTAAGAAATGGATCTATATTGAGAATAATTGAAACTTGTAAGTTCTTGAGTCTTCCAAGCCATGAACATGATTTATCTTTCCATTTATGTAGGTATTCTTTGACATTTTCATAGAGGTTTATAATTTTATCCATCTGGATGGTTCTTTTGTAAAATTTATTCCTGGATATCATTTAAAATGGCTTCTTTTTGTTCAACTTTCCAGCTATTCTTGATGGAGCTTAAATATTAAATTGATTTTGAACATTATTTTTTGTATGTTGATTTGCTAAACTCTCATTAATTCTAATGACTTATCTGTACATTCTTTTTTGTTATCTATGTAGACATTCAGATAATCTGGCAATAAGTATTAATTTTAATAATTGTTATATGTTATGTAGTTTCTTTGGAGGTTTTACAAAGGTAACCAGATCTCCTGGAGGTAATGAAAATATCGTTTCTTTCTTATCCTCAAAAGCTGAAATTCTCATCATTGTTGATGTCAGTGTAAAACGGTACAAATAGATTAATTTATGGCATGTGAATCATATCTCAGTATAACTGTTTTAAAAATTTTACCCTGGTTAAAAACCAATTTGACAGTTTCTTTTAAAAGTAAATGTACACTCTCCACATAATTCAGCAATTCAACTGTAAAGTATTTACCTTCCCAAATGAAAATATGTCTATACAGTGATTTGCACACAAAAACTAATGAAAGGTTTATTTATAATAGCTAAAAATTAGAAATAATCCAAATATCCATAAACAGGGAAATGGAAGACCACAATACAGAACATATATGCAATGGAATATTATTTAGCCATTCAAAAGGGCAAACTACTGATGAACACAACTCTGGATGAATCTCAGAAACATGTTTGATGAAAGAAGCCAGACATGCAAGAGTACATACAGTTTGATTCCATCTTTTTGAAAGTCTAGTGAGAGGCAACCCTCATGTAGAGTGACAGAAAAGTCAGTGGTTGCCTAAGGCAGGGTGTTAGGACACAGGATTGATTTTTAAAAAGACACAAGAGAATATTTTGGAAGGAAGAAAATGTCCTATATATTGTGGTGTGCAAATGGGTGAGCAAACTTGTCACCTGCACACTTGAAATGAATACATTTTATTTTATGTAAATTATACCTCACTAAAGTTTATTTTAAAATTTGATTGTTTTTCTGCCCTTGGTACAGTAGCTAGAATCTTTAAGGCAAAGATTAATGCAAGATGTGGTGAGCTTCATTTCCTTGTTTTTCATATTCTATCAATATTTACCATTAAAAATGAAATTTACTGAGATTGTCAGATATCTTTTACAAGGTTGAAATATTTCCTTTACCTGATAATTTTTTTTACCCTTTAATTTTTCTAGTTGTATCTATTTTGACAATTACATTGCTTTCTTCTTTAATCTCTTAGTGTGGTGAATTACATGAATTAATTTTCTAATATTAAACTAAACTTGCTTTTCTGGGATAAACTGAAGTTGTTCATGATATTTTTTTTTACATGTATATTGTTGGATTCACTTTGCCAAAATTTTGTTTAAGATAGTTCTCATCTATGTTCATAAGTGAGCATGGTTATAGTATTTCTTTATTGTTTCATGCTTATCCGTTTTTGGTATTAAGTTATGATAGTCCCACGAAATAAGTTGGAAATTGCTCCAAATTTCCATACTCTGGAAAATTTTGTGTATGATTGGAATTATTGTTTTCCTTTAGTTCTTGGTACAACCTACTGATAAAGCCATTTGGGCCTGGAGTTTTCTGCATGGGAAAATTTTTACCATTGTTTCAATTTTTTTTACTGTTTATGGAATATGCAGAATTCCCATTCCTACTTGAGTCAGTTTTGGTAAGTTAGACTTTGGCAAATTTCATTTTATTTAAGTTTTAAAACTTATTGACATGAAATTGCTATGAGTATCCTATATGACATCTCCAAGATCTAGAGTTACAGCCCCTTTTCTGTTGTTTTAAAAATTCTTTTTGCTTGTTGTCACTGGATATGTTAAGAATCAACTTTTGCTTTTCTTGTATTCTTTTGTATTATTCTGTTCTTTGCTAAGAATTATGGTCAGATCATTTTTTTTCAGTCTTTCTTTTATATACATTCTAACAACTGTATCTCCAAGTCCCTCTTTAGTAAATCTACAACTTGTTAAGTGTCCTCACTATGAAAAAGAAACAATTATGTGACATGATAGCTATTAGCTAAAGCTAAAATGGCACTCATATCACAATATGTAATTGCATGAATCAACACATTGTATGCCTTAAAATTATACAATGTTATATGCCAATTATATGTCAGTTAAAAAAATCCACAAGATTTGATAGGTAGTATTTTTTATTATATTTGTTATAAATATTTTCTAACTTCTTTTAGAGCTTAATTGACTTCTGAATAGCTTAGAAATATGTAGTTTCCAATTATGTTTCTTTAATTACTAAATTGTTATTGATTTCTAACTTAATCACGATGTAGTTGGAGAATATTATCTGTATTACCAATCCTTTAAAATATGAAGTTTCAGTTTGTATTTATATAAAACATAAATATTTAAGTTTTAATATAAAATATTATATTAATATAAATACTAATATAAAATATTAAGTTTTTCACAAACCAAAGGAGTGCTTCAAAACTGTATTGGAAAGATACAACTAATGACACCAGTTCATATGATACTTACTTCATGCATGATAGGCACTATACATAACTGAACCAATCTAACATCAAATAAACTCTGTGAGATGTGTTCTATGATCCTTGTTTTACAGATGAAATAACTAAGGTAGAAAGATTACAGACAGCCTATTCAGAGTCATAAAGCCCAGAGATAAGACAGCCACAGTCCAAAGCAGTTATGGGACTTACAAGGCCAAACTCCTGGTCACTACAGTATACACAGGAGTTATGATCCCATTAGTGTTACCCTAATATTTCTAAAGCAACTTTAAGAAGAGCTTTCCAGGTGTTATTATACTTTCTTTTGTCTTTTCAAGAGCTGGTGGGTTAATCAGGAAAAGTGCAATTATCCTCTTTTATGTGTGGGAAAAGTGATGTACAGAACCAGTGCCACTACTTAGGGGCAAAGTTAACCATCGTGATTTCTTCTAAAATGGCCCAATAGTTCTCGGTTCTGTGTTCAGTGTGGGGAGAAGGCGGTTTATTTCAATAGAAATTTGGATAGCAACAGACTTAAGAATGTATTCTATTCTTTGTCTACAGATCCCCAGGATCATCCACGTAATGGCTGGGGGAAGGAACAGCACAATCACGATGTTCATTCTCTTGGGATTCTCTGAATTTCCAAAACTCACCGTTGTCCTCTTTTCGGTATTCCTAGGGATCTATCTCATGACGGTGTCCTGGAACGTGGGTCTCCTCTCCCTCATCAGGATGGACTCCCATCTGCACACACCTATGTACTTCTTCCTCAGTAACCTGTCTTTACTGGACATCTGCTATGTTTCCACTATATCTCCCAGGATGCTGGCAGACTTCTTCCAGAAGCAGAAATCCATCTCCTTTGTGGGGTGCACCATGCAGTACTTCTTCTTCTCCAGCCTGGGCCTGACCGAGTGCTGCCTCCTGGCAGCCATGGCCTATGATCGATATGCTGCCATCTGCAATCCTCTGCTCTACACTGCCATCATGTCCCCCACCCTCTGTGTGCAGATGGTCGCAGGATCTTGTATCACCGGGTTCCTTGGCTCATTTATCCAACTGTGTGCCTTACTTCAGCTCCATTTCTGTGGGCCAAACGTCATCAACCACTTCTTCTGTGATCTCCCCCAACTGCTGATCCTGTCCTGCTCTGATACCTTTTTCTTTCAAATCATGACCTCCGTGCTCACAGTGATCTTTGGACTCGCATCTGTCCTGATTATCATGATATCCTATGGTTATATCGTTGCCACCATTTTGAGGATCACTTCAGCTGAAGGCAGGACCAAGGCCTTCAACACCTGCACTTCTCACCTGATGGCAGTGACCCTCTTCTTTGGCTCAGGTATCTTTGTTTATATGTATCCAAACTCTGTTGATTCCCTGAGTCAAAACAAGTTGGCATCAGTCTTATACACTGTTATCATCCCCATGTTAAATCCACTGATCTACAGCCTGAGGAACAAGGAAATCAAAGATGCCCTAAGCAGGTGGGAGAAAAGAATCTTCTCCTGGTGTTGCTAATTATGGGATTTACTGCAGATGTACAGTGTAGTAGAAAGGACAACTAAAACACTGACCCACAACCCTCTTAATTGTGGGCTGAATGAAGTTGTTATGCTTTTCTGACTTAAGCCCACAACTTGCACAAGGATAGGAAAGTGCTGAAGAAGTACCTGGGAACTCAGCATTTCCATTCTTCATCAATTATGACTTGACACATCAGTAGACCAAACAATCCACAACTATTTTTATATATCGTCATAGCTTTATGATCCTACCTTTTATATTCCATTCCAACCTAACTTGCATTACCTCACAGACCAGAGATGCCAGGACTGGTCAATGCCTCCGGAAGACAACCTCCTTATAGCATCTCATTTTAAGTAAGGAAGATAGTATTAATAGTACTGATATGTCTCTTTAAAAAGAATATCCTAGCTAGTTTAGTTCTCACATTTGACCTATTCACCTCTGGAAATTATGGATTAATTTCTTCACTTATGGATTTGTCCAGAGCAAAAGTAATCATAGCAGATCAAACATTTGTTAACTTCAGACACACACACATTTTTGTAATAGAAACGCTGGACTTGTCTGTCATAGTTAAGGTTTGATTGACCAGTTGTCCCGGAAAATTCTAAGTTCCTTTGTACAGTCATCTTTGTTCTTCCGTTTTCACTGTGTAACCAGAAAAAGGAGTCATCTAGTGTCTGCTTGTGGCATTACCAATGATGTCATCATGTT